TTTTTATTCAACTTACGGCCCACCTGATGGAAAGTGGTAACCGTCACCTATAGACATGAGCCGTACCATGGACATAACAGTATATACTGTTATGCCCATTATACTCTCTATGCATTGCCATTCCTGAGGACTCAGGTGTTATTCCTCTGTACCCTATAAATTAACTGCCATATCCCACCCTTCAATACCAAAACACAGCAATGCAAACACAACTGCTTCACGGTAGAAACACGAATGGGACAGAGGTACTCAAGCAAACGACTTTTTTACAAAGTCGCCCTCTGGATTTTTATTCACGAAAATACAGATAAAAGAAAAATAAAACGTAAAAAATGTCACAAGACATTCCAGATAGAATCAAAAAAGTTGATAAAACACAACAAGTATACTAGTTACGTGTTTTATGAATATGTATAATTGATGCTAAATTAAATTGCGCGTAATTAGATAGGTACTTAGCGATAACAAGTGTCTAGCAGACATGGGGATTTCTTTGAAACAATCAGAGTATATTGCTTCATAAAAGAACACAATGATTTGAATATATATATATATTATGAATGAAAATAAAATGGTAACCCCATCTACACTGAGTTTACGCTGGCGGGGCAAGGTGGGGTATTAGGCTTGCCAGATGGCAGAGAAATCCGAGAATGTCTCGGAATTTAGCTTGTCCCATGTCTAGTTTAAACTTTATTATCCTGGACTCCAAGCACCTACTATTTTTTTTTCTTTTTTACAAAGTTATGAGAATAGCTTGTTTCCCTTTAAAAATACAACAAATAAAAACATTAACAAGGCTTACGTATACCTGTTTTCATATTATAAATTTATTACCATCTCTACAAATATACTACCATACCTCTAGAATTGTCTCACAAAAGAGCACCCTGCTATTCGCCTACCAGTCCCATTGCTAGCAATATACCCTGTCAAGTCAATCCCTCATGGTCCCCCCTAAAAATCAACGTGCTGAATTCCAGGTGTTTTCATCGTGATGGGCTAACTGACCTGCTTTCATCCTCACGTATCATTCCTCACTAGTACCCTACCAGCGTATAACATTAGTGCAAGCGGAGTCACCATTCCATTATCATACATTAAAAAAAACGAAAGAGTATGGGAATTTCATATATACTGTATTTTTATATTGTAAATTTTTTATGAGTATGTATGTTGCCAATACTAAATGGATTTTGATATTTTAATCGACAAAATCAGAATTCGTAGAATCCTCGAACGTTTCAAATCCATCATAGCGAAATCTTATCTCTCGTTTTCGAGGGTATTTCCAAAAACCATGTTTGAAATTAGAAAAAAATACCATGAAGAGTGTTTTGAAAATCCTTTTTCATAAAAACTAAAAAGACCTACAAACCTTATTTAACTATTAGAGTGTTTGATCCCTGACTTTCAAATTAAGAAATTAGTGCAAAAGGACAAAAGATTTCAATAGCAAAAATAGGTTCATGAGAGATTTGATATTTTTATGAATAAGGGGGTGAACAGAATCGTAAAAACAGCACCAAATATTTGCTTTTAGTACATAAAACCTGTGTAGTATATATATTCATTTATTCAAGAACAGTTGTTTAATCATAATAGTGTTAAAGCACATAATATTTATTTATTTGCATTCCATCATAACATTAAATGGAATATAGTGATCATAAAAGATTGTTAACATGTTTTTAATTACTTTTAAAAGTAATAGAAGTATAGAATTAATTTTATGTTTATTAAAAAAAAAATTAATTGTAAAAGTAACAATGGAAAAAGTATAATAAAAGGTATTAAGAATACTTAAGTGTCATTTCAATTATGTAATAGTCCTTGAGGGTGATATAATTAGAAAACTGTGTTATGTGAAACTAGAAATATACAGACAGTCTCAAGTTTATTATAAAAAACAAAGGAATTTTAGTTCATGTTTTGCAAGTCATTGTTCATCTTTTATTTATACTCAAACTGTACTAAAAATTTAAGAAGTATATATTGATATTACAATAATTTAAATATGTAGTTCATGGAATTTTGATAAACTTTGATATAAGGTGCTGATTCAGCACATGTTTCATAATGCCTAAATTAAAAACATGAATAATATGAAGAATAAAAATGTTGAAAAAATTTATGACATTTTAAATGTCATAAATTTATACAAATTTATTTATAAATGATTATTTATGGACATTCAAAATATGACCAGGATTAGACATCTAATGTAGGTGTTGTTAACAAATTATATTACAATTTAGTGTTACCAAGAAGACAGATAGCTGCACATAATAAGCACAAATACCTATCACTCCATATAAGACTTATATTAAAATTGATAGTAATTCACATTAATTGTCTATATAGACTTAATTTGATTCTAAATTATTTTCTTTCAAGTAAAAATGTCAATATTTTATCCTAATTTACATAGGAAATTTGACACATGATAAAATTATAAGTACTATTTTTTTTTTCTTTTTTTCTGTTTCTTAAGAGTTTATTATGAGTAAATACTATGTCATGCCAATAACTTACCCATCAGTTGTCACAGAATTCAGGGACAATGTCTCAGCAAATATCACCTCTTGTTCGCCAACAATTTTTTTCTGTGTTTCCACTTCTCTATTACTTCTGCTGATTTCTGGGGCTTCTGTTTGGGCATCTTTGTCAGCAGCTATCACTTTTTGACTGACGTTATGCAGTCCAGAGAGATCAACTTTGGTATTTTCACCACCCTCAACTTGGAGAGCCTCTGACACAACCAAGATGAAGAGAGCACAACTGTGGAATACCAAATCATGTTATAAACAATTTTATAATAATAATAAAGACTAAGTTACTTCTATGGTCAAAATTAATATTATGCAGACATAATACAATCATTTTATAATATTTTTCTTTCCTATTTGAATTTATTTGTTGATTTTAGGACAGGACAGAGGCTTTTGGGTGGTACAGACCTTCACCAATTCAATACAATACACTATGTTTCTAATTCTAATAACTTAAAACAAAGTGTACTCACCTGGAAATCACTGAAATAGTCAGCAACGACGTGTAGATGATACACAACCCACCCTTCATCGTAAAATTAGTGAAATATCCACAGTAAAGTTCATTTTGTGCAAAAACTTAACACATTTTCACAACTCTTTCGAGATTAACTATAGTATTGAATTAATTTAAATACACACAGGTGTCACAACATGATTACCTATTAGATTTTATGTCACTATAAAAAGAGTATATATCCCAGCAACGAAAGTTAAAAATAGGAGAATTCACTTTTTATAATTTCAATTTTTTTCTTTTTGCATTGAATTCAATAATTTGACAGTTGTGAAATTCTGTTACAGATCTTCTTGAAATGGGATTGGATGAAAATGACAAATATAATTGATTATTAGAAGTAACCAATAAGAAATAAACATTTAGCACAACGACTTGACGTTCATTGGTTATAAATACTTTGAATTGAAACAGCTGACGTCGTTGTACGTTCGTTTTTAAGCAAAATTACATTTACCCACTCACATGTTGAGTTTAAAGATATGAATTTCTTAAAAAACAAACCTATAATTAAAAAGTTTGATTCAGTAATATACGCTAATACACAAATGTTTTATTATAATATATAGCAACCAAATTAATATTAAATCTATCAATCACAATATAAAGATCACTATCAATTCCGTATAAAATAAAAGCTATCAATTAGTCGCTATCATCGGATAAAATCAACCGAGATGCAAAGTATTGCTATATTATTGGTTCTACCCATAAACGTAGCATAATGTATTCTACCACAAAAATTTGTGCTAATAAAATATACTCTGCTATTCGTAAAAAAAATTTAGTAGGCTTTATAAGGCATACTGAAAAAAATAAAATTTTTTGAATAGATGTTGCAAAGATTTGCCAACTTTTTCCTTAATTTCTACCACACACATATTAATGTCTGATTAATATTCAAATTACTTGATTAAGGAATGCGCTTAAGTTTTCAGTTGTCTTGTAATAATATAATAAGGGGAATTTAAAAAAAAGTACCGTACAAACATTTAAATGATCAGCAACGTACCAGCATCTTCTCTCGTATTGCAAATGTTCATGGGCGACGATAGCTGCATTCCATCACATGAAATGTCTGCTCGTTAGTCTCCCTAACAAGAAAATAAATATATAATAAAATTGTTTTATTATTTTTTCGGCTTTTGTCGTCTATATCAAATTTATTGTTACTGTTTTTTAAAATGTCCATTATTTTAAGTTTAAAATTTCTTTCCATGTATAATTATATTTTTTTAATTTTGTATGATAATATTTGTGCTTTTAGGTCGTGATGGTTTCAATTATTTTTTAATATAAGTAAATAGATTTTTGTCAAATATGCTTGGAAATGTTGACATTATTTTGACAATCTTCTTCGAGATAAATCAAAATTGCCGTACTGTCACAAGCAACGTACTGGCAAAAGTTGTATGAAAATCCATATATGTCGTGTTTTGCGGTCAGATAAATTACTATGTAAACTTATATCTGTCCTGTAATTTAAAAATGGAATGACCTTTTACTTCGAAACATGGCAACTAAGGAGGTAACTAATAAAAAGTTTTATTTAAATTTCGAACTGGCTTGCAAATAGAAAACTGTTTATTGAAAAAAAGAACAAAGGAACATTATGGCGCGTGAAAAATTATGATTGTTCGTTATTCGTCATTGAACTTAAAAAATAAAATTGTGTTTTTTATTTCCGCGCATTGTTTGAGAAAAGTACTATACAAGCCTTGGCCACAACTAGGCATTGATGGACACACATTTGCACGTTCGTCCATCAATGCCTCAGTTGCTGGCCGTTGCAGTAATGTATTATTATTCAACATTTTGATAGTTTAGGGTTATAACTACAAAATACATGTCGGAAGCTTGTACAACCTATTGTTATATACTATGTGTTTATAGTATATATTTTGGTGGCAACACTGAGTCACTTTAACTGTCATCAAATTAAATAAAATCGACCAACGTCAACAAAAATTGTCATAAATTGAACTTCGTTGATAGGAATTCGCCGGAATAGAAATAACACAAGTTTATTTAAAAATGGAAGCTTTATTTGCTTTACCATTCACGGTTCTAGAGATACCAAATATTAAAATTAAAAAGCCGTCATGGCTGCAAGCTCCATCGGCTATGACCACATTTTCTTTAGTATTACTTTCGTATTTTTTGGTCACCGGAGGTTTGTACAATTTCTAATAATTCTCTTATTAGAATTATAATAATATTAATAAGCTAATTAGCCTATATAATAAATGCGAATGTTTGTAACAGAGGACCAATATTTATCCAATATTGGTTATTCTTTAATACGCTGTGTAGGTCCCGGCGTAGAATAGACCACAACTTCCTTTCCTGTAAGTGTCGTAAAAATCGACTAAGGAAGCTTATGGTGGAATGGGCAGCAGTGTCCTTCTTAAAACATTATAAAAGTCTAACTGCGGTTGCCAAATCGCCTGCCAAGCGTGGCAAGTAGTGGCAAAACTCCCCTTATGGGGGAAGGCTTATGTTCAGCAGTGAACAATTAACGATTGAAATAATAATAATTAGTTATCCTTTTAAGCAAAAACTATTACCTATTAACAAAAAAAAAATAGGTAAATTATGTAGGTGAAGCTATGGAATACAGCAACATTTTTGTACATAAATTTTGGTATAGAATGTTTATTTCATTATTTTGATCAGACACGACATTTTTAAAAATTTGTATTCTGTGGATTTAGTTTCAATGTATACACATTTTATTATTTGGCTAATACTATGTCATGTTTCTTGGAAAGTAAAAAAGTGGGACTGAGTATAAACATCACCAAGACAAACAGCAAAAAAATTAAACTTGTAGTGGACGATCAAGAGCTTGAATATGTAGAAGAGTATACATATCTGGGTCAAATTATCTCACCTAAACAACAAAAGATGCTATGAGATACAGATGCTTAAAGAGATACAGAAAAGAATAAATAACAGTTGGTCTCTTTATTGGTCACTAAAAGAAATAATGAAAAATAAGTCAATACCAGTATCTGACAAGAAAAAAGTTTATAACAGTTGCATCCTGCCAGTGCTGACATATGGCTGTCAAACATGGGCTTTAACAAAACAAACTATACAGAAATTAAAAGTATGTCAGCAAGGTATGGAAAGAAGTATACTTGGCATCAGATTAAAGGACAAACAGCGACTCACTGATATTCGAAAACGAACTGGCATTACAGATGTGACTTAAAATAAAAAAGCTCAAATGGCGATGGACTGGGCATATCATGAGGTCATCAAAAAATAAATGGACCCAAGATTTAATTGAGTGGTATCCACGTGATGGAAAAAGAAACCGAGGTAGGCCAATAAGAAGATGGGAGGATGATTTGCCCAAAGGCTGGAGACAAACTGCAAAGAATCATTACCAATGGAGAAATATGGAGGAGGCCTATGTTCTAGAACAACCTGAAAAATAAGATGTTGCTGATGTCAACATTATTTATACATATTTACAATTAAAAAAAAATCTGTAATTCAGGAATAAAGGCTATTTTTATTTATTTATTTATTTTATGTCATGTTTCTACTGTTAAAGCAGCTGTGTTTGCTTGACTGTCTCTTTGTATAGTCTGTGATTACAGCCTATGAAGATAAAACTAATGCTCAGAAATGGCTGTGTGTACCATGGACATCATAGTATATACAGTGATATTTATGTCTATATATAGAAAGTTCCCATTTTCTACTGTTTGTTTTCTACGTCAAATTAAAAAATAAATGCTGTTTACTATTACAAATTAAATAGACTTATTCAGACAGTACATACTTACTGAAATGGTCAATGTCACCTTCTACTATTATTGTCTTTTTTTTTGTTTCAGGCATTATCTATGATGTCATAGTGGAGCCACCGAGTGTAGGTTCGACTACTGATGAGCACGGTCACAGTAGACCAGTGGCATTTATGCCAAATCGTGTCAACGGCCAGTACATCATGGAAGGACTGGCTTCGAGCTTCCTTTTCTCTCTCGGAGGTCTTGGCTTCATCATACTGGATCGTACGCACAACCCATCAACTCCAAAACTAAATAGAATTTTACTAATATCTGTTGCCTTTCTATGTATCCTTGTGTCGTTTTTCACAACTTGGATTTTTATGAGAATGAAGTTGCCAGGCTATTTACAAAACTAATTTATTAGCATGTAAGTAAATTTTTTGCAATTTGAAGTCTTTAGAATTTTTCCTATACTTATAATAAATATTTTTTATATTTGTCACAATTTTAATTTTGTTTTATTACCTATCAATCCTCATGCTACAGTCCTTACAGAGTAGGCCGAGAGAACGTAATAATAAAAAAGTTATATATCCTTAATTGTACACAGCCCCTATTAGTTTTTGGGGGAAAGGGATTTTTAGTAATGGGTCTAGAGGCCACATTGCTAATAATATATCTTATCAGGTCGACTTCCACGCGGTTCCCCCTAGAAACCATCTTGTTTCTTTATGAATTCATCACTATGGGCCAACTGATCCGCTTTTATCCTGCATTCTTCACTGGTGCCCTGCCAATTAGTGCAGCCAGCATTACTATTCCAATATCATTCATTAAAAAAAAAAAAAAACTTGTTCCAAACTAAACAGTGTGTAATTCAGTTTTGTTGTTGTTTACCTCAATGATGGTTGTTAGTTATGTTTAAAAATAATTTTGCTTGTAAAAAAAGGTATAATTGTGAATGCTGACTATAAAAACAGATGGAGTATATAATAGGTATATTTTTGGCAAATTGTTATTCTACAATAATAAATAAACTTATTGCTAATTAATATAAAAAAGTCCATGTAAGAGTATTCCATGTAAAACATTACAATATCCACCAATCACATATAATCATTATCCTAATAATAATCATACAAATAAATGTAGGAAGACAAGAAGACACTTCAAAAATATACATATACTAAAAGTACCACATATTACAAAAGAAAAAAAATATACAATCAAACATAACCTCCATCTTCTTTGAAGTCGGTTAAAATTAATACATTATATTGTAAGAGTAATGAAAAAATTACTGCCATTTTCAATTCTTATTCGAAAAGTCGCTTATTGTTATCCAAAATGGAAGTCCCTAAGAAAATTAGACGGATTTCCTACTTCGAAGTCAATTTTGGCTTTTGCCTTACCAAAAAGTTAATTTGCCCTACTTTAAACTTGGGTAGCTACGGCTGTGTGTGTTTTGAAACTATTTTTATATAAAACCATATATGTATAGTATGAGATTCAAATGTTAAAGACGTAGCATTATATATCATTAGTTATAATTAACAACTAAAAATTGAACATACATATTTTGATTATTTAAAAAAAAATATTTTGACATAAAACAGACTTCACTGCTTCACAGCCTTATTCTGAATGACCTGAAAAATAAAAGAATTAAAGTCTAAAATGGCCGACTGGTAGTTCGTCATAGATATTTCTTTAAATAGTATTATTTTGTTTAATTCTGCTACCATTAGCATATATGACTTGCCAACACTCGGAGATTGACCACTACTATTACTACCAGAAGTTCTACAACCTTCCATATTAGCCATCAATCTCCGACTGCCATTTTGTTCACGCACGTTTTGCGACACGTGTTTCACCTCTAAATGAAACATCTTCATCAAATAACCAGTGACATAGTGATATTAAAAATCTAACTGCAGTTGCCAACCAGCCTGTCAAGCATGGCTACTGGCAAAATTCTCCTTATGGGAGAGGCTTATGTCCAGCAGTGGACAGTTAACGGTTGATATGATGAAACAGTGATATGGACTTTCCTAAGATAAGACTTAGTTGTAAAACGTTCAAAAAGTAAAATATTTTGGTTGTTTTGTTAAGAGAGGGACCCCCGCTGTGCATAATGGATTCTTTTTTGCCTCATTTTTATAATTTATATTTTATATTGTAATTGTATGGCATAATTTTTCATCCTATTGAATCTTTTCATCTTTGTCTTTACGTGTTGATATTGATACTATTAATGCTTTTATATATATTCTACAGAAGAAAACATCACCTATCACAGTGTGTTTATGTAAATACAAGGCCATAGCTTCGTAGAGGTGGGGGGAGGGGGCATTGAGGGGCAAAAGACCTAAAAAGGGCAATGCCCTACCATAAAAAAATTAGACAGATTCGCTTTTTCGAAATCAATTATGGTAGACCATAAATAGCTAGAGCTAGGACCCTGTGTAAAAGTATTCTTTTTTTGTCTCAATATTATAAATCTACTCTTAAAGTTCTGCATAGATGAGGAACAAACATCAGAGTTAATTTTTCCCATAATAAAAAATAGAACATAGAATTTTGTCCGCCACTGATAAACTGTCACCTATTTGTGCAGATTTACATAATTATATTTGGCATAAAAGATAACTTACTGGCAAAAATCAGAACTTTTATCAATGATGTGTTCAAATTCCGCAAATGACAAAGCACCATCATCGTCAAGATCGGCCTCTTCGAGAACATTTTGTACCAATTGTTGTCTCTCGGTGTCACTAAGCTTCTGATCAGTGCCACAGAGTCGATCGATTACTTCTGATAGGTCAGAAACACCTATCATGTCATCACCATCAAAGTCTGGAAGATATTTAAAAAAAACTCTTATAAAATTGTCTCGTTTTATTTCAGTCACTGTTATTGCTTTGGATAAATACTTAGTAGATAAACTGTGCCAAAAATGTGACTAATTTGTAAGATTTAGCCATTTGTAAAAATGGTTAAAATTGCTAACTTTGGTAAAAATTGGCTAAAATAGCTACAATATTGGTGTCAGCGAAGATTGGGGGTTGTTACTAATACAGACTACCAGTCTCATTGCTAGCAATAGAATATCCTGTCAATTTAAACTCTACATGATCTCCCCTGGAAACTATAGTGCTGAATTCCATTTGTATTCATCATGATGGGCTAAGTTGCAATTTCATACTCGCTTTTCATCTCTTGCTGGTGCCCTGTTAGCGTATACCGTTAACGCAGGCGGGGTTACTATTTCATTATCACCCATTGAAAATACCTGACTTAATCCTCACCTATCATATTACCCTGACTGTCCTAATAGTGCAGGTTGGATAAGCATTCTGCCATCTATTGAAAGACATCTACAATAACTCACCAAATATTCTAAAAGCATGTTCAGCCTTAACTGCTTTGGGCGCCATTTCACTGAACACTGACATCATGTCCAGAAAATCTTCAAAAGTGCAGTCACCATCATTACTGGAGCTGAATACCTTACAGATCCTATCTCTGAATGGATTCACTCTAAGTTCTGGATATTGCAGAATTTTTGCCATTGGCAACTTGGCATTTTTATTGTGACCGACTTTCTCAGGGGCTAAAGCTTTGAATTTTTGATGTGCACTGGAATTGTAATAATAAGATTAAATTTATAATTAGTATCGCAATATTTAAAAGGCAATTTTTTTAATTACAATATTTAATTTTACCAAAAACCAAGAGTTTTTCATACAAACAAACAAGCATACAGCAGTTACCGTCACTTATAAGCGTCTGCAATACCAAGGGTATATGCGCATGTTGTTGACCTTGAAGAAACATCTTTACCCCTTTTTTAAAGAATCTCATGCTGTAGTCTCTTAGAAAAACCTTGACTAGAAGCTCATATGATGTTGTCTCTTTACATCATTGTGGTACAAATTACTGATTTTCATTTTTTTTTTTAGTTTTTTACAATCTACTAGCTGTATCCTTCACTATCAGTACATAAAGTATTATATGTGCAAAGTTAGGACATAATTTTTTTTTATTCTGCTTAGAATGGCAAACAAGCTAACAGCCCACCTGATGGAAAGTGGTAACCGTCGCCTATAGATATGAGCAGTACCATGGACATAACGGAGTATACTGTTACCCCATTATATCCCCCATGCATTGCCATTCCTGAGGACTCTGGTGTTATTCCTCTGTACCCTGTAAATTCACACCATATCCCATCCTTCAAACCGAAACACAGCCATGCAAACACAACTGCTTCATGGTAGAAACACGAATGGGACAGAGGTACCCCAGCAATCGACTTTTGTACAAAGTCTCCCTCCCTCTCTATATCAAATTTCAATCAAATTTGTTTAGTAGTTTTTATGGGACTAAGAATTGCAAACAAGCTGACATTCCACCTGATGGAAAGTGGTAACCATCACCTATAGACATGATCAGTAGTACCATGGACATAATAGAGGATACTGTGTTGATTTTTATGAGGTTTTTGTATGGAGGAGTAACAAACATTTGTCCATTCGTCTATCATTACAAACTTTTGCATTTATAATATTAATATTTGTGTATCTCTTGATGTAAATCTTTTATTAAAAGTAATAAAAGAGGCCACTGAAAGGTACTTACTATAGCACTTCTTTTTTTGTGAAATATGTAAGATCCTGCAATGTAATTATAATTGTGTTAATTTTATGTAGCAATTAGTAAAACTTGAAAAGTATGACACATATGATAAGTATGCTAAAGAATTTTGAATCATCATCATTATCATTTCAGCCATTATCCATCCACTGTGTCCAACAGTGGATGGATAATGGCTGAAATAAGCCTCCTCAAGAATTGAGAATAATATTTTTTAAATATTATTATTTTATATGTAACGGAATTTATATTAAAAATAAGTATATATTTTTTTTATGAAATGGTAACCCCGCCTGCGCTATTGGTATACGCTGGAGGGTCACCAGTGAGGGATGATAGGTGAGGATGAAAAGACAGGCCAGTTAGCTCATCGTGATGAATACACTTAAAATTCAGCACGACGGTTTCCAGGGGGGACCACGGGGAGGTCGACCTGTAAGGGTATATTGTTAGCAATTAGCAATTAATCCGCATTACTAACAATCCCTTTCCCCCCAAAATAAGTGTATTAGTAATAAAGAATTCTTTTGATAGCTGCAATAAGAACATGTAAGCATGAATATGTTTTGGAAAAAATAGATTCAATTAAATTAGTAGGTATTTATATTATTATATAATATCTTTTAAACAATGGCAAACAGAAATAACACGTTACCTCATAATCTTGGAGTTCTTCTTCAGTAAACTGACTTTTTCCTTGACCCATTTTATTGTTTTAGTAATGAAATTATAAATCGCTTAGGTATTTTATTATTTACAATATATAAATGTTTATAACTATTTTCTGCTCGATATGAATTATTAACTAGGAATTTTGTACTTGTCTATGAAACAAACAAGAGGATAGTACGAGTCGGAGATATTGAAAACATTGAAATTGGTAATCACTAAATTTTTACGTAGCCATGAATCACTCTTCTCGTTCACAGAACTTTCTTCCATTCAGGTAGTATGGAAAATTCATACATTATTGGGCTAGATGACAATAATAGGTAATAAATAAGGAATAAAGTTCGAATAACAGTTACGATTATGAACAAAAGCAAATAATATTTATTTATATTATTAACATGTTATTTGAAAGTAGTCACTATTCTTAGATTAATGAAATTGGAGCATTAATTTATGTAACCATCTAGCAGTAATATCACTATAAAATAAACAGATAATCAAGGTGTTGTATTTATTTATCTATAGCGATATATGTATTTTATATATATATACATATTATGGCAAAATAACTTTATAATATAAAATTTTCTAAATTAATAAGCTAGTTGGTTTCATAGCTTCATACAAATGCTATTTGGTTCAAAGTGACAAGACAACAGGAAACGGAATTACCTAATGTCAAATTATGTTTACAGTGCAGAAAGAAAATACTGAAAAAATTCGCAGGTACTATTCTTCCTCTATGACCTATAATAAAGTTATTATGGGTTGGCATTTTAAATATATCAAAGAACTGCAGTTTATAAATATTAATCCCTTATACTTAAAAAAAAAAAACTTGTAGGTGTCGCAATTGTTTACAAACTAGGTAGAAATTTTTTAATGAAAATGTTTTTTTTCTTATATAATTGCAAATTTGTATACCTTGATAGATGAGGTTGATCATAGATCACAATTTAAATAAATAAATGAAATAATTAAACCCCATTGTTAGCAATATACCCTCACGTGATCTCCTCTTGAAACTTTAATTCCTAATGAATTTGTTTCGAATAAGTTAACTAATTTTTTGTCGACCGTCATTTCACCTTTCATTGGTGTCTCGCCCTTATATACCGTTAGCATAGGTGAGTACACCATTCCAGGTATTCTATTATAAAAAAAAAAAACAGCCGAAATCAAATTGAAGAACCGTGACGGTTGGCGAAATGAATATGTTGGCGAACTGCACATAGACTATATAAAATACAAGTATTGTAGTTATAATCTAAGTTTTTAACTATACTAGTGTTTTGTCACTTTCTTTCAAATTAAGAATTTGGCGCAAAAAATTAAAATGTTAGATTTTTAAATATGAGGGCTACTTGCCCATTTATTTGTTTTAGGTGTGTATATTTAGTAAGTAAATACGTTTATTTTGGAATTTTGGGAATTAATTAATTTTTATCTGAAGTGTTGGTCTCATTTATTAGCTTGGTATCTGAAAAAGCAAATAAGAAAAAAAGATAATTAGTACAAAATAAAAATGAAATAATAAACAGTAATAGGATTTCCGACTCAATTGTGACTAAACCAGCTACTACTAACCAGCTACTAATTTAAAAATCAAACTGCTGATCCGATTTTGATGAAATTTCTATAGAATCAATCTGAAAGCATATTTTTCAAAAGAAAAAAAAAACTAAATTGAAGGCGCTTTGAAATAAATTAAAGTAAATATTATATAATAATAGTAAATCGCTTTAAAATACAAGAATTACTGAAAATATGGGTTTGAATACCATTATTTAGTTTCCTCGAAGCGAAAATGGATCCTATTTTATAAGGGCCTCCAGGTTTGAGTTCGCAAAGAATTGGATACTGCTTCTTACACGACGTGGACTTCCACGTTTTGTGTCGAGTGATGACGACACAGTCGTATTTGTCGTAGCGTCTTCTTGGATGGCCCGGTGCCCAAGCCCGATACGTTGTGCAGTCCAGTGCATCACATGTAAAAAAAATAAATTTTGACAAGAAACTGTTCTCAGTATGTTCAGAAAGATACCTATCTGTTTACTAAGATAAACATTCAGGTTATGGAATGAGCTCCCTGCAGAGGTTTTTCCAAGAGATTACAGCAAGTCAGGGTTGACGACGCGCGCCTAATTCTCCTGGTATTACAGGCGTTCATAGGCTACAGTAACTACTTACCATCAGGTGGGCCGTATACTTGTTTACCATCTCAGTGGTATAAAAAAAAAAATTAGTAGCCTTCATTTTGTCAGTCGTTAAATGTCCATTGCTGAACATAAGCCTCCCCCATAAGATGGGTTTTGCCAGAAGTTACCACACTTGGCAAACGGGTTTGCAACCTGCAGTTAGGATTTGCTGATGTTTTCAGAGGGACGCTGCTGCCCATCCCTCGAGCATTAAGTTCCTTTAGACGCCTCTTACGACAGGAAAGGAAGGGGTGGCCAACTCTATGCCAGGATCACACGGCCATAATTGGGATTATTGTTATTAAATGTGACTGTCAGGTAGATCTCCACGGGGTTTCCCTTGGAAAACACAATTATCAATTGCTGGTGAAATTCCATTCTCATCTACCATCCTTAAGGTACTTTTTTCCTAACAGTATAGTCTCGCTGTTCAGTTAAAACTATTAATGTCGAGTTTTATACGATTCTTACATACCATTGGTTCCGTGGAAGGTGCTCTCATTGATCCTCCTCAGACCAACCATGGCGGCGTCTACCTTTGTCCCTAAGAGCAACTGCCCAAGCGCTTCTGTGCGTTGATCACTGGTCACATCAGCCAGTACGCCACTTATATTTTTGCATGAGCTCTGACCTTCCGTATAGTTATATTTCTTTGAGAGCAAATAGAACATGCCTGTTGCTGGTACACACGTAGAATTCTCGTTTGCTGAAAACAATATATTTTTTTTATACCATTGAGGTGGCAGTCAAGCATACAACCCACTTGATGGTAAGTGGATACCGTAGCCTATGAACGCCTGCAATACCAGGGATATTACGCGCGTTTTGCTGACCCGTAGTTTTAAAGGACTATTTTTTTTTATTCTTACTGTCTGATGTTATAAATTGGGGGGAAAGGGTTTGTTAGTAACGGGTTCTAACAGCCCCATTGCTAGCAATATACATTATCAGGTCAACCTCCACGCGTTCCCCCCTGGAAACCATCGTGGGTGATTCTTGTTGAAATCTTTACGATGAGCTAACTGACCTGCCTGCATCCTCGTCTATCATCTATCACTGGTGTTCCGTCAGCGTATACTGATAGCGTAGGCGGAGTTACCATTCCATTCATCAGAGGGAGACTGTACAAAAGTCGTACGCTTGGGCATCTCTGTCCTATTCGTGTTTCTACCGTGAAACAGTTGTGTTTGCATGGCTGTGTTTCAGTTTGAAGGATGGGATATGACGTCGTTCCCCCTGGAAACCATTATACTGAATTCCAGATGTATTTATTACGATGGGCCAACTGATCTGCCTTTTCATCCTTACTAGTGCCCCGCCAGCGTATACTGTTAGCGCAATTAGGGTTACAATTCCATTATGATCCATTAAAAAAAAATAGCCTATAACCTTTTTCAAAACATGAGGTATTAAATTTAAAAGGATTTTTTCAAATCCGTCTGGCTGTTCCAATTATTAGCTCCTTTAAACAAATAAACTGTACTGTTTTAGTATAGACACGAGAAGATACCAACGTAACGGCTTCGCATATAAACTGTAATAGTCGAATCTCGTATCGTTTGTCAATGATGAACCGCCGTCAGCTTCAGCGCACTGCAATGCTTCACACGTGTAATCGAGAGGTTCCTTCGTAGTTTTCATAGCTTCAGGTGGACTGAAGTTTAAAGAAAGAGCCTTCTTCTCAATGCCAAGCCGTTGACAACTAATTAGAGATGTGTATCTAGCTTTAGCCGCCAATCCCAGTTTAGATCTATGGCATTTTTCCATCAGATGATACTTAGGTATTACTGGAGGGGATTCATTGGTACATCGCATATTAGTAAGAGCTGGCATGCATGCCAATATTGATAGAAAGATCCAAGCAAGTAGCATTTCTCTAAATGCGTAAATATCTGAAAACAAAAATACAGTTTTTTATATGCTAGCAATGTAAGTTTATAGTTAAATTGCTAACAATATAGGACAGCGTGGAGGATCTGATAGGATTAATTTATATACATGCATACTTGTAGGACGACCATCACATTTAATTCTTAGGAAATTCCTCTTGATGGGCCAACTGATCTGAAATTATCTGATTATGTTCACCTATTATCTAGGACTGGTACACTGCTAACATAGATTAATGGGGGGGGGGGGGGAAAGGGATTGTTAGTAATGGAGACTAAAAATCCCATTGTTAGCAATATACCCAACCAGGTCGATCTCCTCGTTGTTTCCCCTGGAAACTATCATGGTTAATTCCTGATGAATTCATCATGATGGGCTATTTGGCCTGTTTTCATTCTCATTGATCACCTTTCACTGGCGTTCCGCCAGCGTATCCCATTAGCGCTGGCGGGGTTACCATTCCATTTTCATCCACCAAAAAAAAACATAGATTAATGGGGCTTGTAGGAAATTGTATAAATAAACTAACGGCTTTATGGTAAATTGTAATTATTCATGTAATAAACAAGACAGTACGTACCTTATAAAGTTTTACTTTACAGCTCTGGTCATTGAACTAGCCTTCAGAAAGTAGGTAGGACTAATATAAGGTTTTATATCCCTTAAAGCTATAGTAATACTAAACTTGACGTTTATTACTTTCCTTCAATTAGTAACTTTTCTTCTTTTTTATTTTACACTTAAATATTATATTCCTTATCTGTATATTTCACATAAGTATTTAAAAACAAAAAGAACAAAAAACAAGATTAAATTATAAGAACACCATTACAGAGCGGTGTGTTATGGGGCAGAATACTTAATAATAGATATACGTGATGGGAACCGATACTTGTATTCTATTAAATTCATGTGGTCTAGTTTTCAACGGCCTTTGTAACAGCGGAAACGGATGACCATGTTATTCACTTGACAGTTATTATTGCCGTGATCCACTAACGTCCGAAAACTATAAATGGACACCTATGGCCATTTAGGGTACCTTATTTATAGCTATACAATGACATATATATGTACTAAATGGAATCATAATAGTTAGCATTTTTTTATAATACAGGGGCAAACGAGCATGCGGCTCACCTGATGGTAAGTGTCTACCGCCGCCCATGAGCACCTGCGAGATTACAAGCATCGTAACTGAGCTGCCGGCCTTTTAAAAAGAAATATATTCTTTTCTTGAATTCGATTCGGAAATACCGCTGCTAGAAGTTAATTCCAAAGCCTGGCTGTGGGGAGGGGGGGAAGGGCTTCTTAGTAATGGGGTCTAAGTGACCCATTGCTAGGAATACACCTTGTCAGGTCGATCTCCACGTGGTTCCTCTGGAAACAATCATGGTTAATCGTAGCGGAATTCGTCACGATGGGCTAACTGACCTGCTTTCGTCGTCACCTATCATCTATCACTAGCACCTCGCCAGCGTATACCGATAGCGTGGTACCATTCCATTATCACCCATTAAAAAAAAAAGAAAAAGCCTGGTTGTGCGTGGAAGAAAGTATCATGAAAAACGCACGTTGGAAGACCGCCACTTATCCAGAAAGTTGGGATGGAACTTTACTAAATTTTACGTTTATGGTGTGTTATACGATGGTGAAAATCAGCAGCAAATATTAATTCGGACAATTTGTTTTTTTTACCAATCTTTTAAAGCAACGTTTTTGCCAGTGAAAATGATAAATCCCAAAGAAACATGTCTTGTAAACCGACCAAACATTTTAAACTTCCTATGATGAATAAGGCATCCAACTATTAACTTTGAAATAAAAATTAATTTTCACTTATAAGATTACTTAAAAAAAGGCTACCTAATAGAAATTTTGTTTTCACTCAGTTCTTAGATGAGTGAACAATATGTTATAATGTAATAAAACAAATAGCTTTATAAGACTCTCCAGGGCTTTATAAATAATTACCAACTTACATATTGTTTGCGATCGTTCGCAAACTTTTTTAGAAAAAAAATAAAAAACGTAATATCCTATTTTGTACAAAACAATTTCTTTATTGAGATTGCTCATTTTTCTATTCACTTCTATAATAAACGCTGTCCCTTTACTTTCTCCTTTATGCTTTTTAATCAAATATTTCTACATAAAACACTTATTTCTGCCACATAGCGACAATCAGTATGCTATATAATGTAAATAAAAGTTCGTTTCTTAATTTGAACCAATTGAGAATCGAGCCTGTGCATTGTTATTTACATTTAAAATATTGAAGTTAAGAACTTCGCAATAAACAAACTATAATTGACCGAAAATTTTAGGACGTGAGAGCCGCAATTAAAAAAATCGACACAAATCTAGACGTCCATTCAAACAGCTGTCATTTATTTAGAAATGTCATTTAATAATTAATTATATAATCGTGTAATTATTTTGTTTGTGGACGCTATGGGTTGCTTCTACTCCAGGAGAATGGAAGACGTATGTAATTTGCATGTAATTCCAATTTATAATGGGATAGACTACGTTCCGTCTCCGAACAGATAGGCTCCGAACAGATGCTAGACTGGAGAGATATTATTGCTGCACTGTTAGAGGATAAATAAGCTGGCAAATTTATTGCCAGAAGTGAAGATATGAACATCATTATGATATTTCATTATTATATTAAGAACTTATCTTGCTGTGTGTGTATCCTTCTGACTAAAACACAGCAATGGAAAGATTTCTGTTCCGATGCAGAATAATAGGCAATTACTTGGTCAAGTCATTCAAAACTAAGACCACTTGCTAATTGTGTATCTCAAGAAGTTCAAGTTTGGTATGAATTTAACCCAGATACATATCGAGTTCATAAGATAATCGGAGTAAATTTCACAGGGATTTGAGGTTTTACTGACGGATAAAATCTCGCCTGCGGAAAAGACTTACTCTAACAAGGGTAAGGAATTATTCAGATGATAGGTGAGGATAAAATCGGGTTATTGGTCCATCATGATGGCATGGAAGGTATCGATATCACTCCAATATTTATATATTGGGTTCCTCCGATGATTGTTATTGGAAAAAGTGCATTACCTGTTTAGATGGATATCTTATACCAGCCATCTATATTAATTTTGATCGGAATTAAGGGGGGAGACGAGACTGTTAGGAATGCGGATTAGGAACTCTGTCAGGTCGACCGCCTCGCAGTTTTCCATGAAAACCGTCATGCTTATTTCTAAGTGAATTCATCTCGATAACGCAGGTGGAGTTACCATTTCATCTTCACCCATTAAATAAACGATATTTAATATATCCTTTATTGGGCCAATATTTTGATATTTCTATATATTACCCACTTTTAATCATGACGAATGTACCAGGGTCATAAGATCTATGACAATAGGTATATGATGATATCAGGGCAAATATTTAAAAAAATATATATAAAACTGGTTTAAAGTGATGACGTGGCGGTTATGGAAGTGGTAAGAAATCCTTAGGCATTTTTATTAATTTCAGGAAGAAACTGCTTACGACATGTCGCCCATCCGACATCTTCCCGTCATATTTGTGAACGGCGTACCAGGCGCTGGTAATCAGACAGTGGCTCAAACCATCTCTACTATAACAGGGTATACGGTGATCAGACCAGGAGATTTGGTAAGGGCAGAGGCACTGAGGGAAACAGCAAGAGGGCGAATGATTGCGGAAAAAATGCAAGCTCAAGAGGAAATCTCAGAGGTTAGATTACATTTATCAGCATCATTATCTCGGCCATTATCTGTCCACTGTTAAACATAGGTCTGCTCTATATTCTTCTTATTGCTTATTAATTTCTTCCAGACAATGGTTGACCCCCCACTAGATGGAGTGATGACCTCAAATCCATTGCAGACAGTCAGTGAATGTAGATGGCTTAGGACCGTTCCTTATGGCAGTTTATGGGGGAGGCCTTTGTTCAGCTGTGGACAAATAACAGCTGATATGATAATGATTTGTATTTTAATAACCCCTGAGTCCTCAAGAATGACAACGCATGGGGGGGTATCATGAGCGAAACAGTATACTCTGTTATGTCCATGGTACTGCTCATGTCTATAGGCGCCGGTTACCACTTTGCATCAGGTGGCCCGTCAGCTTGTTTGCCATTCTAAGTTGTATAAAAAAAATATAAAACATTAATTAAAGTTAATAATAAAATAATAATTAATTTATAAAATACAATTACATTATACAAAAAAACATAACAATTGTTCAGGTAAAAATCGCAACACTAATCAGTACTCTATTACGAGTAATTATACAATATTCGTATTTTACTTACATAATTTTAAGTCTGATACTAACAAAATGGATCTTGTTATCTGATAATAAATTATTTTGAATTTAATTTATTTATAATTTATCATTTATTTAATGTCAACTAATGTATCATTATAATCAACAGCAACTAACAGTGGATCTGGTAAAAGAGGCGATGTTGACAAAGCGGGACGCGACCGGATTCATCTTGGTCGGGTTCCCGAAGAATCCCAGGATGTCAAATATTTTCAACAGGCAGGTTAAGTGGCCAGAGAAGATAGTCGCTTTGGAAGTTGATAATGAGGTATAAACTTAAAAAATATATGAGCAATTAATTAGTTTTTTTTTTTTTTTAACTATTTTAGTGAAATCAACTCGAGAGAAAGGAAGAAATTCTTCTAAACACGGGACAAATGAATGTACGTTAGAATTGTTACTGTTACCACATACAAGAGATAGAATGATATAACAGTATTCTGCGTCTTCTTCTTCTTTGCGCACGTTACTTTCACGCTGAATTCCTTTCCCATTTGTTTAGGAAAAGTATGATTTTTTTTTGTTAGAATGGCAACCAAATTGACAGCTAAACAGGTGGAAGGTGGTAACTATTGCCTATAAACATGAACAGCAACATGGACTTCTCGGAATACACTGTCCACAACGGCATCCTTCATGTGTTGCCATTCCTAAATTTCCATATTTTAAATTCACTGCCATATCCCACCCTTCAAATCGAAACACCAAGTTTCCAAAATAGATATATATTATAGAAAAGAGAGGTGCATGAGTCAATTATGGTGATGAAGCGATTTCGTTCAGACTTAACTCTCATAATTAGGTACCTTTTCTCTTACATTTTGCGTATATAAAGGAGAAGTGGCACAACGAATCAATAATTAGTAGATGCTCTTTTTAAACCGATCATCAGGCTTGAACTGTCCACTGCTGGACATAAGGCTCCTCTTTGGGGGCTTTTGCCAGTAGTTGGCACGGTTGGTAGGCGTATTGGCGATCGCAGTTAGGCTTTTGGTGATGTTTTAAAAGGAACATTGCTACCCATGCCTGAACCAATAAAATCCTTTAGTTGCCTCTTACGCCTTCCACGGAAAAGGAAGGGATGGCTCACTGCACGCCGGAATCACATGCTACAGGGGGATTGTTAATAATACAGACTACCAGTCCCATTGCTAGCAAATGCCCCATCAGATATGTTTTAAGAGGGACGCTATTGCTCATCCCTCGCCCTTCTTTAGTCGCCTTTTACGATGCCCACGGGAAAAGAAGGGGTGGCCTATTCTACTATTCTATGCCAGGACCACATGGCTATTTAAAGGGATAATTATGTCGAATATATTTGTATTTAAGGTGGCTGCCACAAGACTTCAGAATAAGCTTTCGGAATTAGGAAGACCAGAATCTGAAATTAACGCCGCGAGACAGATCGTCAGGGAAGCGGCGCATAAAGTTAAGAATGTTCATAAGCGATTCGGAGGCCATGTTGTGACAGTGAGTGATTCAAAGTGAACTTAAAATCCCAATTCATTAAGATACTTTTTAATAATACTTAAAAAGACAAAAAATCTGACGGTCCAATTGATGGAAAGTGGTATCCGTCGCCTATAGATAAGGATAGTCAGGGGGGAAAGGGATTGTTAGTAATGGAGTTTGACAGCCCCATTGCTAGCAATATGCCCTATTAGGTCGACCTCCACGTGATTCTCCCTGGAAACCATCGTGAACAATTCTTGTTGGATTCGTCACGATGGGCTAACTGACCTGCTTCATCCTCACCTATCATCCTTCACTGGTGACCCGTCGGTGTATACCGATAGCGCGGGTGGGGTTGCCATTTTATTGTTACCCATTAAAAAAAAAGTAGCGCAGTCATCACAGAAAATACTATGTTCCTATGAGGGCTACCTTTCCTAAGGACTATAGAGTTGTCTGCGTACCTCGTTATTTTTTTTTATACAACTTAGAATGGCAAACAAGCTGACGGCCCACCTGATGGAAAGTGGTAACCGTCGCCTATACACATGAGCAGTACCATGGACATAACAGAGTATACTGTTTCGTCCATGATACCCCCCATGCGTTGCCATTCCTGAGGACTGAGGTGTTATTCCTCTGTACCCAGTAAATTCACGCCATATCCCACCCTTCAAAACGAAAGTCAGCACAGTCATGCAAACACAACCTCATGTGCTCAGCAATAAGGTGTTAATAGGTATCCATTTTTCAAACAGCTGGACAGCACAGGAAATCCCAAAGTACTCGCCTCTACGTTGAAGGAGATTCTATCAGATACCATGGAGAAGGCCCAGAAAAGGTTTATGCCCCCAGAAGCGTGCCCCCCCTCAGCGGTATCAGCGCCAGCTGTCGCCTATAACCAAAAGTGTCCCATGTGTCCCACTAACCCAATGGCGAGTGATACGTCACCAGCATCAGAGATAGAGGGAGAGAAGTGATCCGTAGTGTAATTTTTTATTGATATGTATTTTAAAATTTTGCTATATTAAATATAAATGGTTATAATACTGTTTTTGATCTCTAAGGAATTTACAAAAAGGTTAATAATAATTAAAGACTATATCCAACAAAAAAAAAAAACGATTACAACTGTGGCAAAAACAGTTATTTCGATTTAAAAACTAAAAAAAAAACAACTCAGGTAATAAAGAACAAACAAAAAAATTCGACCGAATTGAGTAACTCCTTTTTTGAGTTGGCAAAAAAAATGTTATAATAAATATCTGACCTGTTTCGCCGTTTAGAGTATTGTAAAAGATTATTTATAATAGTTTTCCCTGTTTAAGTGAAGAATAGTTGTAAATTAAAAGAAACGAATGGATGGCATTTAGTAGAAAAAAAAATTACCATATTGTCTCTGTCCGTTGAGAACGATGTGCTCAAAGATTTTATTCCTCGTACTTAGGTCGTGCTATAATAAAAAAAAAATCGTTATATTGACTCTAAGTGATAGTCAATATGCCCTCACATTGATTCCTTCCGACGTGATAAGAAATTAACTCACCGTTCTCATTAAGATTAATTTGTTTTTTTTTGTTGGTATTTCCTATAACTAGATAATTAGTAAGTACCTTAAATTCACACAGTTTTTGGTGTCCTTGCGGTTTATAAGTCATGATCAAGAAAATTAAAAATAGTAATTTAAGTCTAATGTAGGTACAAATTGCAAATTTTCATTTCCATGTTATATGAAGAAAATAATCACCTCTCCTTTAATCCACGAAATAGTTTGTAATCCTATAAATTTTGATTACAAAATCCGCACGTTCTTAATCTACATATAAAACATTGGCCGCTAATAAAATTCTTTTTTTGCAAATTTCAAAATTTTAATCATCGTGACAAGCGACAGTGCATGTCGTTGTCATTTGTCACAAAAGCGCATCGATTTTAAAAACAAAAACTATCCCATTTCAAATATAGACGCCCTAGTTTAAACATCTAAGATTTTAACATCATTGTATAAATAATAGTACAATAATTTAAATGAAGGTAGTCATATCTATGATAAGTAACGCATAAATCAGAGATTGGCAGTTGCTGTCAAGAGCCGGGTGGAGTGCGCGGGAATTACGGTTTCACTTCGTTCAAAAATTCACCACGCTGCGTAAATCCGTGATCAAAGTTATGAAGATCAAATTGCGTAAGATATTTTTTTAATAATCTTATGATAATCTTAAAAATAAATGCTAAACTTAAAATAACGAATTATTTAAGTTCTTTTTGCAATTACTAATAAATTTATAGCTCTGCATGTACTTATTACCTTGGACAGCATTTACGATATGCCAGAATTTTTATTTAATACATTATATAAATTAGAAGTATTGTTCTATTATATTAATATAAATTTATTTAAATATAAATTTATTTAAAGTGAAAGCAGTCTTAAACGAAGCCTATATGTTTACGTTTATTCTTTCATTTAATTTTTAGTCCAAATATATATCTACGACTGCCGTGTGATCCCCGCATAGAATGGGCCATTTCTTTCTTTCCCGTGGATATCGTAAAAGGCGACTATGGTTTATGTGGCAGTGAAATTATGCCTTTTTTTAACGGATGATAATGGAATTGTAACCCCGCCTGCGTTAATGGTATACACTGGCGGGGCACCAGTTAAAGATGATAGGTGAGGATGAAGCAGGTCAGTTAGCCCATCGTGACGAATTCAACAATAAATCAATTACGATGGTTTTCAGGGGGAACCGCGTGGAAGTCGACCTGATAGGGCACATTATCAGCAATGAAGCCACTAAGCCCAATTACTAACAAACCTTTTTCCTCCCTAAAATTACGCCTTGTTAAACAGTCATCGTGAAGCAGTAATGTTTTTTTATGGCTGAAAATGAAATGGTGACCCCGCTTGCGCTATCGGTATACGCTAGCGGGGCACCAGTGAGTGGTGATAGTTGAAGATGAAAGCAGGTCAATTAGCTCGTTGTGAAAAATTCCACGAGAATTAATCACGATGGTTTCCAGGGGGAACCGCGTGGAGTTCGACCTGATAGGGTATTGCTAACAATGGAGCTGTTAGACCCCATTACTAACAATCCCTTTCCCTCCGAAACAGTTGTATTTGCACGGCTGTGTTTCGGTTTAAAGGATGGGATATGGCAGTGAATTAAGAGAATATAAGTTATAACACCTTAGTCCTCAGGAATGGCAACGTATGGGGGTATCACGAATGAAACAGTATACTCTGTTATATCCAAGAGACTGTTCATGTCCACTGTCTGTCTGGTGGCCCGTCAACTTCTTTGTCATTCTAAGTTGCCTAAAAAAATTACCTTTATTTATTTATTTATCATTATCAGCCATTAATTGACATAGATCTCACCCATAATTGGAGGGATTTTGCCAGTAATTGCCATGCTTGGCAGGCGGATTGGCAACCGCAACCAAGCCTTTGGTGATGTTTCAAGAGGGACGCTGCTCCCTATCCCTCGACCATAAGTCCCCTAGATCGCATCTTACGACACGCCAGTGAAAGGATGGAGTGGTTTTGTCTAAACCGGGATCTATACGGCGAAGTAATAAATTTATTTATTGCTTATTAATCTTCTGCCTGATTTACGCGTCGGTCTATTACAGCCCGCGATCGTTTTCCGTCGACGTCGTCGACGGATGAGAACGAGAGCGGCACCGATTGGGACGTGGGCAGCGCACGGCCCCCGCCACTGCTGCACCAGCGCCAACCACCACCGCCGCAGGTAACTTTCAAGTATTTTAGCCCTTCTTTGCATGATTTTTTTTATTGGTAAAATAAACCAAGGTGATATAATTAATGGTCAAAATTAAAGGAAAAATGGTTAAAAAAATAAATTTGATAGCTGTTTTCTTTTTCCGCAATGGACAATAAAAAGGTATCCAGACACGATCAACTTAAAGTGAACTTGTTCTTTTATATAACTTTTGGGCATTCAATGTTATGATGGGAATTTCCACCATTATGCAAAGAAAGAAGGGTTAATTTTTTATCAAAACTGTTTTCGAATTAAAATCTTTTTAGAAATACAGTTGAGATGAGAATCTTTTTTAACCGACTTTTAAAAGAAGTAGGTTTTCAATTTTGTTGTATTTTTTTAAAGTTTGTTACCTCATAAAGCCGTCAATTTTAAACGAATTTACAAAATTATTTTTTTTATCTAAAAGGATATATTTAAAGTTTAACCCTATAGAAATTTTATCAAAATCGATTCAATAGTTTAGTTTTAAAAAAATTACTGGTGTTGCCACAGTCAAAATCGGTTTTACTTTGTGGGATACAATTTTTAATTATTTGTGTTTGTTACTTTATAACTTTGTCAGTTTTAAATTGATTTCGAAATTTTTTATCGGAAATATGTACTTACAGATTGGTTCCGTAGAAATTTTATTAAAATCGGTTCAGTAGTCTAGTTTTTATGTCGAAATAATTGGTTTTATCACAATTTTAGTAGTTTTTTTTTTGTGGAATACAATTTAATTATTAGAAATACAGTTGAATTGAGGATTCTTTTATATATAAAATATCGATATATATAAAAAGTATATTAAAATAATTATCTATATAAATATCTCGTGTCACGATGTTTGCGGTCGCACTCCCAAAGGAGGATAATCATTCGAGTCATTTCAAAAAATGACTCGAATGATTATCATGAAATCTTTTATGTATATTTAGTAGATATGAGAATAGGTCTTAAAATATATTGCATAATACCACAAGGTGATTAAGGTGTTCCTATGCCTTATTCATATGACAGAACAACGTTTGCCAAGTCTGTTAGCTGTATAATATTGATTTCGATGCAGTAACTTACTTTTACTTTGCCGTGTGGTCCCGGCATAGAATAAGCCAGCCTTTCCTTTCCCCTGGGTGTTGTAAGAGGCGACTAAGGGAAGCCGAGGGATAAGCAGACGCGTCCCTCTTAAAACATGTCTAAAGCTTAACTGCGGTTGCCTCTAAAGGTTAATCCGCCTGCCAAGCGTGGCAAGTACTGGCAAAACCCCCCAAAGGGGGAGGAGGATATTTATAGCATTGGACAGTTAAAGGCTGATATGATTAACTTATCACCTATTTACCTACAGTATCAGTACACATGCAGTATTAACTTACTAATAACTTACCCACTTCTATCTGTTCTCCTTTAAACAAAAGGGGGGTAAAGAGGTTTCTTCAGGTCCGGCAACGCACGCGTAATGCCTCTGGTATTGCTTGCGTTCATAGGCTACGGTAATTGCTTACCATCAGGTGGGCCGTATGCTTGTTTGCCACCTCAGTGGTATAAAAAAAAACCAAAGGTTGTCTGTAAGAAACTGCCCTAGCAGTAAGACCGCCTTTTGTACCTTTATGTATACATTTTAATCTGTAATTTATGTTTTTTTTTATTGTTTGTTATTACATATTTTTATGTTTTTGGTGCAATAAAAATAAATAAGTAAATATTCGTTCCCTAACAACTGTCTTGTAAGATTTCGCAGGCAATTATCGTGGGCTCGGTGCGCAAACGGCGCGGTAACTTGCCCAAGCACTCTGTGAAGATATTGAAGCGGTGGCTATACGACCACCGGTACAACGCGTACCCCAGCGACGCGGAGAAGCTGGCCCTCAGTCAGGAAGCCAACCTCACTGTGCTGCAGGTACGATATACTTTATATTCGAATATAATAAAATATATAACCCTGCATTTGGGAATTCAAAATTTTTTATGCAAATTAGAATGTTAAACAAGCTGACGGCCCACCTGATGGTAAGTGGTAGTTGTCGCCTTTAGGAGGGGGAGGGGTGGGGAGGGAATGTTAGTTAGTATGCTTACTGTCAGACTGACTCTACTGTTTGTTAAATGAGCATTTTAAAAAACCGTACATATGAACAGTACATTCTGTTTCGCTATGATACTCTTCATGCGTTGCCATTCCTGAGGATTAAAGTGTTATGCTATTTATAAGGTTGAAAAAATATCTTCCAACAGATTGATCAAATGAGATTCACATCCACATGTTTCTGTTATCCGAACCAAGTGTGTACCCAGTTACAGGACGTTTTTAAACGTCATTTTAACGTTATAAACGGCTTTTTAACGTTAGGGAAACTGATTAAAAATTTACCAACTGATATATTAATGAAAGATTTTGTTCTAATTAGATTTTGGAGTAAAAACTGCTACTTTTAGATAATTCATTAAAATGTTGCTAATGCCTTCAATATCATCATGTATAGACAAAAAAGTGAAGTTTTTTTGGTACAGTTTATTTAATAATGCAACTGTGCAATTGTTCTGAGGAATTGTTCAAATTGATACCTGCTGCTGATTTTCACCATCGTACAACCGGTCACATATGTAAAGTTTAGTAAAGTTCCATCCCAACCATCTGGATGAGTGGTGGTGCATTTTTCAAGGCACTTTTTCACCAGAGGGAGACTTTGTACAAAAGTCGATTGCTTGGGTACCTCTGTCCCATTCGTGTTTCAACCGTGAAGCAGTTGTATTTGCATGGCTGTGTTCTGGTTTGAAGGGTGGGATATGGCGTATATTTACTGGGTACAGAGGAAGTTATCCTTCTGTTCCTGAGGACTCAGGTGTTAACCTGAGTCCTCGGGAATGGCAACGTATGGGGGTATCATGGGCGAAACAGTATACTCAGTTATGTCCATGGTACTGTTCATGTCTATAGGCGACGGTTACCACTTTCCATGAGGTGGATCCTCAGCTTGTTTGCCATTTTAAGCTGTATAAAAAAAAATCTTCCTTGCACGCACAACCACGCCTTGGAATTAACTTTCAGCAGCAGTATTTCCGAACAGATACGACATGGTAGCCTTAAAAAAAAGAGCATATTCCTTTTAGAAAGCTGGCTGTTAACCTGCAATGGTGTTGCGAGTGTTCATGGGCGGCGGTAGTCACTTACATCAGGTGAGCCGCATACTCGTTTGCCTCATGTGTTAGTGTTATAAAAAAACATTCCCAGGTTTGCAATTGGTTCATAAATGCACGCCGGCGCATCCTCCCGGAGATGATCAGGCGTGAGGGCCACGACCCGCTACATTACACGATCTCACGCCGCGGCCGCAAGCAACCGAGCGCGATGGGCGGGGTCGGGCCCATGGTGAGCATGAACAGTGCATCCACATCGGGCATCGGTATGAACCCGTCCGGGAACATAACTGTTACAACGTGGGACGGCGTGATTGTCGAGGTAAGGTCGAGGTGAGGTCAAGGTAAATGCAAGTAATTTTCATCGTCTTCCACCAGTCACTAGAGTATTGTCGATATTAGAGCTTGATCAGTCGGCGCTGCGGTGTCTAGTGTCATTGCCAACATTCGCCTCGCGAATCCTCCCACCAACGCTGAGAATCTCGTCTTCGTCCAAAAATAGCGTCAATTGGAGAATTCGCGAGGCCAATGTTGGCAATGACATTAGACAGCCCAGCGCCGACTGACCAAGTTCTATCTACAATCGTATATGGGTATATCTGCTGTTGTATACGAGTATGATGCCGTGTGGTCCCAGCATATAATGGGCCACCCCTTCCTCTCCCGTGGGTGTCGTAAGAGGCGATTAATGGAACTCAATGGTCGAGTGATGGACAGCAGCGTCTCTCTTAAAACATCACCAAAAGTCTAATACGTTTACCAACCTGTCTGCCAAGTGTGGTAACACCTGAGTCCTCAGGAATGGCAACGCATAGAGGATTTCATGGGCGAAACAGTATACTCTGATATGTCCATGGTACTGCTCATGACTATAGACGACGGTTACCACTTTCCATCAGGTGGGCCGTCAGCTTATTTGCCATTTTAAGTTGTATAAAAAAAGTCACCTCTTACGACACCCACAGGAAAGAAAGGAGTGGGCTATTTTATGCCAGAATCACACGAGACTTTTAATAATAAATGGTTGAAATGATGATGACAGAAAAATATGAAGATTATTTTTTAAAATGTTTAATAAACTTAACACCGGGGGGAAAGGGATTATTAGTAATGGAGACTGAGAATCCCATTGCTAGCAATATACCCAACCAGGTTGACCTCCTCGCGGTTCCTCCTGGAAACTATCATGGTTAATTCCTGTTGTATTCATCATGATGGGCTAACTGGCCTGTTTTCATTCTCATCTATCACCCTTCACTGTTGCTCCGCCAGCGTATCCCGTTAGCGCAGGCGGGGTTACCATACCATTTTCACCCATCAAAAAAAAAAAAACTTAACACCAAAATAAATGAGACAAATCAATGTGTTCTATGTATTACCTAATAATGTCTGATTTTTTTTGAACTGATAATTGGTACCTTACCTACGTTAATAGTGGACTTTGGAGAGTAGTTGCAAATTATCTTCTGCTTGTTATCAGATAGTAATTTTTTTTATATCAATTTATTTGTTAGACGGATCTAAATTTATTATTAATGCCCACGCAGATGTGATTCAAAACAAACTGTCATTTATCAAGTAAGAGTCTAAGGCCCACAAGATATTTCTCGTAATTTTTTACCAGAGGGAGACTTTGTACAAAAGTCGTTTGCTTGGGCACCTCTGTCCCATTCGTGTTTCAACCGTGAAGCAGTTGTGTTTACATGGTTGTATTTCGGTTGGAAGGGTGGGATGTGCCAGTGCATTTACAGGGTATAAAAAAAATCTTTTTTATCTGAAAGGATATACTTTCGATACAAATCGTTTCAGTAGGTTAGTTTTTAAAACAAAATAACTGGTTTCGTTACAATTGAAATTGGTTTCTTATGGAGCACAAACATTAATTATTAGAGGAAGAAAAGTGAATAAAAATCGATATATACATATATAAGCCGGCAGTACATCTGTAATGCTTCTAATGTTGCTAGTAATCATGGGCGGCGGTAGTCACTTACCATCAGGTGATCCGCATGCTCGTTTGCCCCCTGTGTTGTAAAAAAAAATCAATATGTAAACACGCGATGTTTACAATATCTTATTATCAATGAAACATTATCGTTTATCGGTACATTCATAATTGAAGTCAGTTTTTTATGTAACTACCTAAGGTGACTTCTATTCGCATATGGTGAAGGTGCGAAGCTAAGCTGTTGCACGTCGACCCATCGGTATCTTTTGTGCTTCCCCCTGCCTTATACCATCATTTCATAGATCCTATATGTTATCCTAACGATATCCCGTGGGTTAAGATATTACAGATATCTTAAACCGCGGGATATCGTTAGGTCCCCTGGCTCTGGATAAGCCGTTCCCAGTAGACTCATACGCATGTTTGCCAACGAATCGTAGCTGCACAACAAGTGTTCCATCGATTCCGATTTCTCACCGCACAGTTTGCACAATGTGTCCGAGAATAGACCTATCTTGTATAGTATATGCCTTGTTTGCATATGCCCAGTTAAAGCACCCATGATCAGTTTTAACAATCTAAGGCAACAATATAACATTCTTTTGAAGAACCAAGCGGATATCCACAACGGCTATGGTGACGGGCTGTTGGTGTACCGAAGCGAGGGAGACGAGCTCGCGGACCACGAGGAGGGGTACTCGAGCGCCATCAGCGAGGAGGAGGTGAAGTACGACCCCTCCGTCTGGCAGTCCGTCATACGGTGCGGGCCGGAGGACACTGACCTGCATCCGGCTTCCAGGTATCATTTATATAATGACGTGGAACCACAAACAAGCTGACAAAACTCAATAGAAACCGATTGGCAACCATAACCTATACTGGGGAGAAGGGATTGTTAGTAATGCGGTAGTCCTATTGCTAGCAATATGCCTTGTCTGGTCGACCTCCACGTGGCCCCCCCTGGAAATCATCGTGCTGAATACCAGGTTTATTCATCACGGTGGGCTAACTGCCTCTTCATTCTCACCTATCATACCTCACTGCCCCGCCAGCATATACCGTTAGCGCAGGCGGGGTTACCATTCCATTATCATCCATTAAAAAAACCCTAGCCTATAGGTTGCAATACCACATTATCACACGATCCTTATTTGCATTGCCATTTCTGAAGCTGGGGTCAAATTTATATAATTTTTCTCTCTGTAAACAAAAACACAGATATTGGACGACAGAAATGCAATAGCCCTCAAGTTTAAGGCGAGACTTTGCCTCCCTTTGTTTGTTCTACCGCTTGTATAATGGATTGTGTTCTGAGGAATTATTTGGAATGATGCTCACAACCGCCTTTTATCATAGCATCTATATAGGGAACTCATCTTCACATGCATAAGGTTGCATACCTTAATGATCAAGTACAGTGCGATTTCAAAGAAATTTTCTCTCGCGATTATTGGGGCTATGCGAAGAGCACCCGAACTGTCGAGATTTTCCCTAGATACTACAATATGGGATTTTTTAAAAAGGGTATATTATGGTTTCTTCAGAAATACCGAAGTCAGAAGTACCCAATCAGACGACTTTGCGTAAAATCTCTCTCTGGTTATTAATCGTTCTTTCCTCCGCCACTTAATCTTTTTCTCCAAACTCGAACAGAACGGCATCTGTAGTAACTGTAACAACAACAGAAGAGCCTCTACAGCCAATTGAGACCAATAACGAGTCGTGGCATCCCCTACCGCACCCGCAGCTGGCACACCTCCCGCAGCTGCCGCACCCGCTGCACCCGCGCAGGATGCAGGTGAGCACGCCGCCACCACAGCCCCCACCACCAGTCGCTGTCGAGCTTGAGGTCGCCACCACTGATATGTGGTGCCACACATAAAGACAGGCCAGTGTTTCACTTGTAAGGTACAAGTTACCATGCAAGAGAGGACTCTGCAAACACTTGATTTGAAGGCGGCGTTGGAAGACAATTATGAGTCTCTGAGACGATGGCGTAGTACATTTACCTTTATTGAAATTCTAGAAATGCTCTTTTACAATAGTTAATAATGAAAATTAAAACTAAATAGGTATATTGCACGCACATTAAATATTTTAAATCCTATTTTGAAAGAGCATTGCACTGTAAGCGACGTCGGTGTTAAAACAATAGTTGATTTGTTATAAGAGATAAACAGTTAGTTTTATGTTTTGTTTTAGATCAAAGATCTTGTTTAGTTTTGTTCTGTAAATAAACGTTTGGAATATTCGTTGACTTTTATTCTCCTGTAGATTTTAGTATATTTTTATATTTGATACTTGTTTTAATACCGGCATCGCCTGACAATCTTTATTATCTAAAAAAATTCCACATACTTCTATTGTTTTCTAACGTGATATTAACCAAGCATTTTCTGTTTTTGCTGGAACTTTACCAGTCTCTTTTTGAAATGATTGTATAATAGGTAAATTATTTTTAAACCACGTTCCAACTTCAGGCGATGCCGAGGCTTAGTGACAGAGACCAGGACAAGTTCAAGTGCTTGTATTTGCTCGTGGAAACTGCGGTGGCGGTTCGTCAGCGGGAGAAGGAACAAGAGACGATACTTCCTGTCTAGTTTTCATTGCTATACATACATATCGTGTTAGGATAAGGTGGATTTAAAAAGATTCTTATCAGCGATTCTTTTACTACTACAGTATACTTTTACTATTACAGTATTCAATGTTTTTAAATCGAAGGTGTCAGAGGCTATTTGCAAAATGTTGATTATAAAGAAGTGTTCTACTTTTTTGACGATGCCATGACCTTTTTACCACTTGATCGTTTGAGCAAAACACTGCCTAGTTGCTTACACATTTATCTACCACCGATCATTATAGCATAGTATCGCATATTGCATGAGCGAGTTGCTTTGCTTGATTTGACCTGCTTGTTATTTGCTGCTTGTTAAAAGCAACTGAGGATGCCATATACTAGAGAAATTTCAGGTATGGGAATATATGAAGGATGTTTCCATGTCTATAAGCAATGATTACGACTTTCTATTAGATGAATTGTCAGCTTTTAACTATAGAAATTCCATAGCTACTCTTCCATGACGAAATGGTTCTATTGGTATAAAAAAATCTGCTCGTCATCTAATATTACGTAGAGGTTTTTTGTCAGTAATTTTGGAACCACGAATCATTACCAAGAAATATTTCACTAATAGAAATTTATCTATACCTGAGTACCTATAAAACTGACTTTCTACAGAACAAAAGATGCAGACAAAACCGTGTTATTAGAAGTACTTTAAGTTCTTATTTTTATGTTAAGCAAATATAATTTAGGTTTAAGGCATTGTACAGTCGTGTTTAAGTTAATATTTTCTAATAACTCATCAATCATTAAAATAAACTGATGTCTACATATTTTTGTTTCATTGATTCCTTTTCGTATGTGCCTTTTAGGTAATTGTTCTAATTTTGAACAAGTTGGTAATAATTAGCCCTTCCAGACGAGTGGATATCATGAGTCATTACATAAAAATCCTGTGTCCAAAACTATACAATCTCTCATCTCCAAAATTTTAATAAAATTTTAAAATATTTTGAGACAAAGCAATGTTTGTTGGATCAGCTAGTTATAAAAAAGTACTAGGGGAACAGAATCATACAGGAAAATAGTGTGACAGATTATATTATTATTGTTAGAAATAGGGAGTCTTGACCTTGTTATAATCACCTTCCAGATGTTTCCTCACGGGTTATTTACTAACAGATACAAGTATTGAGTGAGATCTAAGCACATAACGATTTGTTGGATGGGCATGTTGTTTTTTATCTTTAGCATGTTCATTAGGCTTATACTGATGCAAATATGGTAAGCAGCCCGTCTTATGGTAAACCGTTACTGTAGCTTATAGAATCCTATAACACCAGGAATGTTATTCTGAAGTAAATCTAATACGTCCTTTTTGAAGAACCCCTTAATTTAGTCTCTAAGGAAAATTTCGTCAAAGAGTTAATTCCAATCACGATATATCCAGCGATAGATTCGTTTGGGACTTGCTTATATATGTAGGACATGAGACAAGAAAGTATAATACTAGATAGTTGGTTTATTCAGTTAATTGGGGCGAGAGCGTCGAAGTGTCGACCTCGCTCATGATAGATTAGTTTTCTTTAAGGGGTGAAAATGGAATGGTAGTTCCGCCTACGCTATCGGTATACGCTGGCGGGGCACCAGTGAGAGATGATAGGTGAGGATTAAAGCAGGTCAGTTAGCCCATCGTGTCAACGCCCACAAGAAATAACTGCGATGGTTTCCAGAGGGAATGCGTGATGATGGTATTTTTTTTATACAACTTAGAATGGCAAACAAACTGACGGCCCACCTGATGGAAAGTAGTAACCGTCGCCTATAGACATGAGCAGTACCATGGACATAACAGAGTATACTGTTTCGCCCATGATACCCCCATACGTTGCCATTCCTGAGGACTCAGGTGTTATTCCTCTGTACCCAGTAAATTCACGCCATATCCCACCCTTCAAACCGAAACACAGCTATGCAAACACAACTGCTTCACGGTTGAAACACGAATGGGACAGAGGTACCCAAGCAATCGACTTTTGTACAAAGTCTCAGGTCGACCTGATAAGGTATATTGTAATGGAGCTGTTAGAACCAATTACTAACAATCCCTTTGGGACTGGCATTTGTAAGTTGAGTAAAATAAGTAATAAAATAAAAACATTAATTATTTAATCAATAAGTTATTAAAATTAATTATAAATATATGTACACATTGTCTATCTGTAGATTAGGTACTGGGTGTGCATTGCTCAGTTGACTACCAGTGGATCCAGGATCTTTTGTACTTCTCCGAAGATCACGTCAACTGATTCCTCTGCGTTTATCTGAAATAAAAATGAAAATATCAATCGTCTAGTTTTTATAGTTGCCATGGAGATAAGATCGCCTTTTGTACCTTTATGTATATATTTTAATCTGTACTTTATGGTACTGTATTTTACTTGAATTTTTTAATTTCCATTGTATATTTATATGTTTTTTTTTTTTTGGTGTAATAAAGAGTTAAATAAATAGAACAAGTCTACGACTGGATAACGCTGTGCAATTTATACCAAGCTGAAGGGACATATCCTTTTTCCTAAAGAGGTGTGTTAAACCTCTAGCTCATCAAGGTCGTTAATAAATACAGTCGAATTGATTTTATATATATATTTTTTTTTTATACAACATAGAATGGCAAACAAGCTGACGGCCCACCTGATGGAAAGTGGTAACCGACGCCTATAGACATGAGCAGTACCATGGACATAACAGAGTATACAGTTTCGCTCATGATACCCCCCATCCGTTGCCATCCCTGAGGACTCAGGTGTTACTCCTCTGTACCCAGTAAATTCACGCCATATCCCACCCTTCAAACCGAAACACAGCCATGCAAACACAACTGCTTCACGGTTGAAACACGAATAGGACAGAGGTACCCAAGCAATCGACTTTTGTACAAAGTCTCCCTCTGGTAAACACTTACACAGGTGATACACTTAAACAGTTAAATACTCGTAAAAGCATACGAACCCTCCTGAGCTTCTCGGGATACTGCGCGAGCACGAGGTCGTTGTTGTCGAGGAAGGTCTTCAGCCTCAGTTTGATGGTTTCCTCGTTGTCGTCAGCGCGGCCCGAGCTCTCGGCACGGCCCAGCAGTCGCTTCGTCAAAGTCTCTGATGAGGCTTCGAAGTAGATTATCACCTGGTAGTTCATAATGAAGAGTCACAAGTAACAATAATAAATGCTACACGATCTCTGGGCGCATATCCCAAAACACCCAGACACAAGTCGATTCAGAAAAGTTTTTTTTTTTTAAACTAGTCGGATTTATTGATATAATAATATTTTTTTATTAAGTAGCTGTGCCTGCAACGTTCGTTTACAATTTGTCATCATGGTCATACCATATCAGCTCTGTCCACTGCTGAACATAGACGTCTCGATAAGGTAAGTTTTGGCAGTAGCTGACACGCTTGACAGTTAGATTTTAGCGATGTTTTAAGAGGGACTCTGCTTCCCATCTTTCGACCATTAATTCCCCTTAGTCGCCTTTTATGATACTTACTAAAAAAGAAGGGGTGTTCATCTGCTTAAGCACCTTTGTCTCACCGCTGTGAAACAGCTATATTGCATGGTTGCTATCGAAGAAAAGGATATGAGAGGGAAATTACAAGGAAAGAGGTAACACATTCCTCAGAAACGAGAAGGCATGAGGAGTATTATGAACGTCATAGTGCATTGTGTGATGCCCACTTTACTACCAAAGACGATTACCGACGATTCAGATGAGTCGTCAGCTTGCCATTCTACGTCGTATACAAAAAGTGAACTTACAGTAACTGGCGCAATAGCTTGTTCGAAGGCGATACCCTGCGACTTCTCGCGCGGGTACCCGTCGATTAGGAAGCCCTTCGACTGGTCGGCGCGCGCCAGGATCGCCTCTTTCAGCAGGTCCAACACGATTTCATTTGGGACCAGTTCACCTTTAATATAGATAATTTTTATTTTAGTTGTTCCTTGGAAGGTGTTCCTAAGATGTTATTATCATATCATATCAGCTTTTAACTGTCCACTACTGTCCATAACCCTTGGGAGGTTTTGCCAGTAGTTGCCATGCTTGGCAGTCGGATTGGCATCCGCAGCCTTTAGAGATGTTTTAAGAGGGACGCTGTTACTCATCCCTCGCCGTCCCTAAGTCGCCTCTAATGACACCTACGGGAAGGAATGGCGTGGCCTATTCTATGCCGGGACCACACGGCCGACTGGTGGCATATGACAGTGAAATTACAGGGTATGAAGGCATAAAGATAAAATAAAATGATCCTCAGGAATGACAACGCATTAGCGTGAGAGAGTATTCTGTAAGATCCATATTCACGTTTATAGCCGATTTAGCCTATTTTCCGTTAGATGGACTTGTTTGCTGGTCTATCATAAAAAAAAAAAAAAAACTATTTACCCCGCTCCATGATAGCAGTAAGGCATTTCGCCCTCTCGGAACCGCTCTTCACCTCCGCTCTGAGCAAGTCTCCGGTGGACAGGTGGGTAAACCCGTACTTGGCAATGATCTTCTCGCATTGCGTGCCTTTCCCCGAACCGGGACCACCCAGGACCCATACGATCGGCTTCTTCGATGTGTCTATTGGCGCCTGAAAGAAATATACGTTTCCGATCAATATTTAGTAAACAGTCACTAAAGTTCTCGTTCTTAAACTGTAGTTAATTGTATTCCTCTGATATCGATCGCTTTTATTAATTTGAAATCGTCATTTTCAATATATTTCCATATCTATATAAAATCATGAAGCATCTATAATAATTGGAAGTCTCCTCCCACTGGATTCTTTTAACATAAGCCTATGTCTGTAAGCAAGTATGTAGGTATTATTTACCTGTAAAAGCTTTTTTATCGCGTTAAATTCCGAATGGATATATGAAAATATGTATGAATTGGGGGGAAAGGGATTGTTAGTATTGGAGACTGAGGATCCCATTACTAATAATATACCCAACCAAGTCGACCTTCTCGCGGTTCTTCCTGGAAACTATCATGGTTAATTCCTAATGAATTCATTATGATGGGCTAACTGACCTGTTTTCATTCTTATCTATCACCCTTCACTGGTGCTCCGCCAGCTTATCCCGTTAGCGCAGGTATGGTAATGGTATGGTAACCCCGTTACCATACCATTTTCACCCATCAAAAAAAAAAATGTGTGAATAATGCAAAAGTTAAAAATTTACTATAAACCTATGTTATTAATTAGGTCTTTTTTTATCTACTAGAGGTCAAGAAATAATATACTTTTTCGTCAGATTTCTTTCTTCGGAATATTTATAAATATCGGAAATATCCAATTCTAAGAATGGCATTATTTGTAAATTAACGAATAGAGTATCTTGCAAACGAGACTTGAATTTTAAGGAGTAGAGATATTTATTATCCCTAGAAAATTTGAAAACTGAGTGATTGATCTACGAAACTGAAATTGGAAACGATTCCTAATAAATTGCTTTTGTGCTGACTAAAAAACTCTGGGTAACAGCCAGTCAAGTATTATTTAGTCCTTAAATAGATGTACCTTTTTTTGGTAAGCTTTGCACTTAGGCGACATACATTGGAGGGGGCAGAGGGGTGTTATATCACTGATTGGCTGTTCGCATGGCTGACATTTTTTCTGCTCCATCATGATACAAGTACTGATTGTAAATAATTATTTATAATTCTATAAAGCAATTTATGATTTCCATCCATTGATTGATGACTAGAAATTTGACAGTAAATGACAAGTTTGCAATTGATAGGTAGGTCTTACGATATATATTTTTTTCTTTTGGAAATATAAAAACTTTGTTTTCGAAACGTGTCAAAATATTAAATTTATGTAATTCTAATAAGACCTCAACACTTGACTCTCTTTATGCTCTAAGAGAGACGATGTAAAAATAAATGTTGAATATTTACTGATAGATTTAATGCAGTGAATTAAATCTATAATTAAAATCAGCCAAATCAAATTAATATCATCATCGATGATGATAATGATATTGATTTGGCTTACTTGATCTACATGGAACGAGCGTAGCTAAGCTGCGAGTCTGTGACACAGAGTAGATAAGTACTGACGTAGTTGTGATTACTTACGTACCTAATAATGATTAAGAGCATACCGGAGCTTATAGAAGTGTGGGCATAACGGAATGAGGGGACTATTCTTCATCTATCACTGTGACTAATGATGAGTCTAGTAATTTTTTTATTATTATATTAGGCGTTATCTGTCCACAGCTGAATACAGGCGTCTTCTTTGGGGGGGGGGGGGGGAGCCATGGCAACCACAGTTAAGCTTAATGAAATTAAGCTTAGAGGGAAGCTGCTACCCATTCCTCGACCTTTAAGACCCCTTAGTCGTCTCTTACGACACTTACAGGAAAGAAAGGGAGGTAAATATGAAAAAAAAAATAATATGGGTGCCGTTAATTCTAGGACTCTTATGTGTACAGGTTTCAAAACCCTCACCAAAACACTGCTCCGATGATGACGGTCACGTCGATGCACGATAGAAAAATAAGTCTTCTGGCTTTTCCAAAGAATCCTTTCAGCTGACATTGTAAATTATAGACCTAATACGTACATTTCATACTTTCTTTTTAAGCTGTTTGGCATAAATTAGGTCAGTTCGACCGCTTTATTGATCATCTAACCTAAAAACTATGTTGACATTGTAGATGTAGCAGGTGGAAAGTTGAATAATTAAACAGAAGAAATGGGACCAGTTGTGTATTGAAATTTTATTGATTGCGGTTTTATTGATTGGTAACTTCTGATGACAAATGTATATACTTAGTTTGAATAAAACAAATTTGCAAAAAATACCGTTAGATATACAATATAATGTTACGACTTATTTTTATCCTGTGGAAGTCTTTTTTAGGTTTTTTTTTATGCAACTTAGAATGGCAAACTACTGACGGCCCACCTGATGGAAAGTGGTAACCGTCGCCTATAGACATGAGCAGTACCATGGACATAACAGAGTATACTGTTTCGCCCATGATACCCTCCATGCGTTGCCATTCGTGAGGACTCAGGTGTTATTCCTCTGTACCCAGTAAATTCACGCCATATCCCACCCTTCAAATCGAAACACAGCTATGCAAACACAACTGCTTCACGGTTGAAACACGAATGGAACAGAGGTACCCAAGCAATCGACTTTTGTACAAAGTCTCCCTCTGGTGAAAATTAAGTAATTACAATGAATTAAGAATTATCCATGATCGTTTAATTTATGTGGAATTCATCACGATGGGTTAACTGATCTGCTTTCATCTTCATCTATCATCGTTCACTAATGCCTAACCGCCGTATACTGATAGCGCGGGCGAAGTTACCATTCTATTGTCATCTTTTAAAAAAACCTTACTTATTTATGATTCTTCCAGTATCCTGTCAGCGCAAACTATTAGGGCAAAAGATTCCTATTCTAATTCCATCTATTAAATGTCTCTACTTGCTTACTCCATATAATCTCAATGTAGAAATAATATACCTCAGTTAACGTCACTGTGACGCCGCGTTCTAATCGTATTTTTAGCTTCGTCTAATTGTGATGGGACGATTTTACAGCAATCCCAGAGTTCAGGGTTTTTGTTGCTATTTCAATTGTATTTGGAATAGCAACAACAAATAAAGCAAACAATGTTGCCATGCAAATGTTGTTTGCTTGGGTAGGCACTTCTGGCTTACTCGTGTTACTGCCGTGAAGCACATGTGCTTACATGACTGGGACAATTCGAAGGATGAGATATGGCAGTGAAAATTATTTATTTGTTTATATATATATATATATATATATATATATATATATATATATATATATATATATATATATATATATATATATATACTTATCACTAGTTTTACAGGTGCTAAATAAAACAGTGTAACTATGTTAATTATATATATATATATATATATATATATAAATATATATAATTAATATGGTCAATATTTGCTGTAACGGAACGTATAATGAATGAGTAGGATTGACAGATTGAAAAGATTAGATTCGTTCTTGCTACCGGTGTTCTTTATAGATGTTTAACGGTGTTAAAATTTTTGATTAGGTAATTATAATTTTAAGAGAAGTTTTAAATACATAGTAACACGGAGCAACTAACTTTCATTTTGTAAACCCTTGATCTATATATATATATATATATATATATATATATATATATATATAATTTCAGTGTCAAATCCCATTACTGATTTTAATTTATTTTTAAATTCGTAGCGGTGAATAGACATAGTTTGATACAATAGTTAGGTGTAATGTAATTAAGGTTAAGACTGTCTGTTTTAAGATTTGACAGTGACCGCCAGCCAGCGAGCTACGATTGTTACATTCCTAACCAGTTACATTGTATTATATTTATTTTTACTAGTGGGCGCCCCCTGGTTGAGATTCGACCATAACATATATTATGTTATGGTCGAATTTCGACTACGTAATAAATGAATTTATTATGGTTATGTTTGATATTCAGTAAGACTATAGACAAATTATATTAAAGACAAATATTAATCTATGTATTCTCAATTTGACCACAGATTTTAACAATAAATTACAGAGTAGACATGGGTGTGTGTATCAAATACATGGCAGTGTGTGTAATGTTTTTTTTTTATTTATTTAGTATAATTTTAAAAAAAATAACATTCTGGATTCCTTCTCTATATAAACTATAAGCGTCCACGCTATTTTCATAAAAAAGAGCTAAAAAGTTTTTGCTTCACGTATTAATATATAGATTTCATATATATATTTTTAAAGAGTCTTTCAAAAATGGTGAGCCTTTGAATTTTACTATATTTCTCAATTCCGATTTCAAAGATGAGTTATATTTTTTTTGTATACTTACATGTTATGCGAAATCTTATACAATTTTGTATTATATTGTATTAGTCGTTAACTGCCCACTGCTGGATATAGGCTTCCCTCATAAGGGGGGTTTTGCCAATAGCTGCCACGTTTGGCAGGCGAGATGGCAATCGTAGTTAGGCTTTGGTGCTGTTTTAAAACGGACGCTGCTTCCTATCCGTCGACCTTTTATCTTATAAAATAACGATTAAATTATGTTGATTATTATTACGATGAGAAACTTTAGATTTATATATTTTTTTACATTGAAACGAATGGAAACTTGATGGAAAACGTCAACCGCTCTCTGTAGACATAATATACTGTGATTTCAGATGTTATTTTTGTTTTATATTATTCATTTTCTGTAGATATAATCCACATGATACACTTTGAATTCAGGTGTTATTTTTTATTTTATTTTATTTACTTTCTGTCGATATGAACCACATAATATTTAGTATAAAATTGTGCGTTATGGCATCACAGCTATTTCATCATCATCAACAACTATTTCACTATCATATATCATCCAGCAAACCAAAACAAAGCAACTGTAATGTTTTGGTATCAGAAAAATAAGAAAGATAGAAGAAGTATTTTTGCTTACGGCTTTGTATAAAGTTCTTCGGGTAAAAGGTTTTTCTTTTGATAACTCGCATATAATATTATTGGTATTGCAGGCATTAATGCTGCAACTGTTTATCAACAGGCAAGTCGTA